CTCGGTTGTACAGAGGGTTAGAACTCCGAGAACCTTTGGGAACTCTGAATTTGGCATGTGACCCTTGTGTATAATCCCTGTGGGTTGAACCACCCATTATTCGGGAACTCTTGGTCTCGATCGTCCGTAGAGAGTTTGTAGGAAGTCTGTGTGCTTAGCGTGCGGATCGGATCACTCTCTTAGTTCACCACTATGACTGAAGCCAAAACCCCCCCCTCTCTTAATAAGGCAACCAAGTACAATACAGAGAACTTTGAATATACAAATATGCAGCCACTACTTATTTTTATAGACCCTTGAGTGGGGGTCTGTCACCAGTCCTACTCAGAACTACGGCTCAGACACTGGTCAGTCTAAGCCGCTTCCTCAATCACGCGCACCACCTCAGAAATGAAGGAACCACAACTTTAATACAGGCGAACTCTGATTCCGCAGTCTAATACAAACTCTAGGGGGACTATGAACCCTTAGAGAGCGATCGTTAACATGAAATGGGTACCTACCCTTACCGTTCACGTACAGCAGGCCCAATTGGGATATGGAATGCCGTGGATCTCCTTAGAACACCGTCGTGTCTGATCCCCACCGCAACTTGGACTTAGTACAGCTCGAGATCCTCACGCGGCACCCTTGGCACCTGTCCTGCGCGCCTTACAAAACCACTTGTACTTCACAAAGTAAAAAGCTCTCTGATTACCTTCTCTTATACTGAAAAAACTTTTTCTTGGTATCTTATGTTCCAAATTTCACTTGATCTTTTTGGATCCGGGGTAAATATCTTGTTATCAGTATACCTAAGTACACTCATCAGTGTTGAACTTCAAACTCACTTGGTTCCACTATGTATCCACATAGCATCATCGGATGTGAGGCACATCACCTCACTTCACACTGACTTGTCACCACTTGATCGCGTTACAGATCGAGTCGGGTCTCTGACTCTGGGAGGGACTCCGTAACATATTATGATATAGAATCCAATACACTTGAGTCTCCGGATCTTGTCTCATTTCATCGTAGAATCACTGAATCCATCGCGTAATACCTTCATACAAAAGTAGATACTCTTGATTTCATACACTTTGGAACCCAGACTCAGAGATTTCCTTCGGGATTCAGAGGTTGTAAGCCGGGATTCAGGGATTAATCACGGAATTCTGGGATACCCTGTCTGGCTCTGGGGCATAGCGTTCTACACAGCTGGTAAAACACATACCACCTCCATTGGCAATTCATTTCCTTCTGGATCGGGATATCATGCGTAAATAGTCCTTTGAGTTGATGTTCTTAAGCCATGGAATACTGTTTTCTTGGGTCGGGCCTAGGCAGTATGGGGTTTCTGGTACAATACATTTATACCAACATTTTTCGCAATCATTGCTACCCATAGTCGAGGAGGGGCCGAGTCTGGACTGCACTACAGTGCTTCCTGACTCTAAGCGCCATCCTCGACTTTCTCCAAGCTAGCCATTCTCTTCCCATCACACAACCACCTTTCCTTCCACACATTCACGTCAGCAGTCCCGTACCAATCCAATTTCTGGGTATTCCTGCAAATCTGTTTGTCCTCCAAAACCTTCGAATCCCTTCGTGTCAGTTGAGCTAAGGCAATACGGGGTGCTTAGTGCAATACGTTTGCGCCAACACTTTCCGCAATCATTAAAATCCGTAGTCAGGACGAGGGCAAGTCTGGACCGAGCACCACAGTGCTTCCAGACTCTAAGGTCCATCCTTAGCTCTTCTCCATGCCAACCGTTCTTCTCACATCCCACAGTCACTTTCGTTTTTACACGTTCACCCCAACAGTCCTATATCCATTACCTAATCCCTGGATATCCATACAAATCTTTCTCTCCACGAAAACTTCAAATCACTTCGTGTTAATTACCACCTCCAGCTTATGGGGTGGTATGCGATATTGACGTCAATGGGAACAGCCCGATTAAGCGGCGTGCAAGCAGAAATTCTATTAGTTACTTAAAGAAACTCTATGAGTTGCTGAAGGGGCTTCTGAAAGCCAATCTGTAATCATTCTCTGACAGTCAGTGAGCCTCACCCATTGTTATTGTGCTGAAGAAAACGGCGTCGACATCATGATCTGTATTGACTACAAGATAATCAATACCGTGCCCACAGTAATGGTGTACACGATGCCTCTTGTGGAAGACCTGTTGACTGACTTGGAAAAGTACTTATGATAATATTATCTTGGTCCTACGAGTGGATTATGGGCCATAATGGTGACCTTACGAGCCCGTAAGATTTCGGCATTCGTGTGCCCACCAGGGCATTTTGAATGGTTGCGAATACCATTTGGTCTTAAAAATGCACCGATGATATACCAGCGCATGATTGACTGACAATGCATTGTGGGGGTTTGTCCAGCCAAAAGGTAGTTGGCGAAACTTCTCCACCAAGATGACGATAGCTGAGAAATCTTCCAATATGCCGAGAAGTATAGGAGAATCAACAACGACACTTCCTACGGAGCCTTCGATCAACCGTACAAAGTTTAATGCTGCTCGACAAAGCACGGAAGCTGAAGACCCAGTACGGCAACTGGTCAACAGGCCTAAGGCCGACATGTTTCGCACCAATAAAGCCGATGAGTTCACACTAGTTCCTCTGTTCGATAGGCGATCGTTTGTGGATGATATCTTCTTCGGGGGTGAAACATTCGACAAGTGCCTTGAGACCTTAGACCAATTGTTGACCAGTTTTGAAGAGTGTCAAATAAGTGTCAGCTTTACGGAAAATATCTTCGTACAGCCCAAAGTAGATTTTCTGTCCCACGAAATGTCGAATGAGCGAATCCAAGCTGGAAATAAGTAGATGGAAGCAATTACCTGGCTACCTTTTACAAAAATGAAGAAATGGATGCAATTCTTCTTGTGCGCTTTAAACTACTTATAATAGATTTATCCAAGACTTGGCAGTATTTGGAGCAGCCTTGTACCAAATGAAGGACGATGATTTCGGTGAAGACGGAGCCATATCGACAGTGAGAGAGAGTTCGATGCATTAAAGCTGAAGGTTGCTGAGACATCGATTCTTCGTCACTTTGATCGAGTCAAAGACGTTCACATGATGTTGTTTGCAAATGAATAGGCTCTAAGCACTCCGTTGTTGCAAGTGCATGATGGGAAACTACTCCCAGGGCGATTCTGTGGTAGAGTGTTGAAGAAAGAAGAAATGAATTATCATTCCGCAGAAAAAAGAAGTGCTGGCGCTATTATTACTGTTGAAAACATGCAATACACAGCTTCCTGGACGCACCCTGCGAAGTATACACAAGATTTTATTCACTAGAATGGCATACCAAGTTGAAATCACTGTTGGGACGTGCAGTTCAATGGGCAGTATTGTTATCTCCATGGCACTTGATTGTTCAACGGGCCAAATAGAAAGAGTGTGAGTTTACAATACGTTTGCAATCCACGGTGATAACTGGACATTGACGAAGCTTTAGCTCCAATAGCACCACCATCCAAACGTTTCGTAACAGCTAGGATCGATCCTGCACTACTATATGCAAAGCTTCAGAAGGATTACTGTGGATATGTCGTGTCATTCGATGGCTCAGCGAAAACTGAGTAAAACGTTGGCTATGGAAGCTGTGCCTGGATAATGTGATGATTACCTTAATGGGAAATAACGGTTGATGTAAACGCGCACCTGGGATCTACGACGGTAAATGTTGCCGAATATTTGGGAGTGAACAATGGAGTCGAGGTAGCTTTGGGGTTAGGCGCCGAAGCCTTAGTAGTTGTCGGTGACTCCAGGCTTGTGATTCAACTATCTCTAGGGGTGATTGCATGCCGTAATGAAGCACTGATGGTTCAACTAGGCCGCCACAAGGAGATAACCACAACGTCCAAGTCGATCAAGTATCTGCATGGGATGAGAGAATTCAATGCTGCTACAGATTTGGTAGCAACAGAAGCTCCCGAAGCAAAACATCGAAGGTAGTCCTAAGTGAAAGCAGAAAAACCGAGTTGTCGGAGCTCAATCGAATTCAAGAGATGATTTACATTCTACAGCCGACAGCATGGAAATCAAGGAAGCAAAAACGCGGGTTACGGAAGGCTTAATTCGATGCGTAGATGGGAAAATGCAGAAAGCGTACGCGGATTTTTTTCAGCAAAACACACATGAGGTAATGAGGATGACCAGGAGCCAAACAAAGGTCCAGCAGAAACGTGTCCGATTTGCTGATGAGCAGCCGAAAACTAATGAAGAACCAACTACGACAGATCCATTTCCCAAAGTACCCAAACCGCCAGGAGAATAGACACAGACTGGGGCAGAACAAAGAGAACTGAACGCTGAATATTTTAATCCAGTAGCAGAGCAATCTGAGCGGCGAAGGAGAATCGCCACAGCGCAAGATGAGGAATTAAAGTGCTGTAATCTGAAGATGGTGCAACGAGGAGAAGCAGATAAGCTCAAGTATCGTGCTGCACGTGATGCTTGGAAAATTGCAGATCGATTCACCTTAACGGATGACAACGTGCTGTACTATATGCACACCAGTCTTCGAAACCGGCAGGATGATCGCGAAGAATTAAGGTAACGACTGGTCGTACCTACAACAATGGTCCAGGACGTCTTCCAGAATAGTCACGATTCTCTAGAAGGCGGTCGTGAGGACCTACGAACGAGTGAAACTTGGCTACTACTGGTTTGGATTATATTCCGACGTTGAGAAACACGTCAAATCGTGTACGGACTGCTGATCCAGCAAGAGCAGGCCACAAAGTAGCTGTTACTCGTCGGGCAATATTCTGGCGGAGAGACCGTTCCAAATAGTGTCCAAGGATTTCGTCATCCCCTACCGAAATCTCGGCTTGGAAACACGGCGCTGCTATTATTCAAATGTGCCTTCGCAGGTTTCGTTGTGGCGGAACCCATGACGGATACGACCGTTCTACGGGTAGCACAAGTGCTTTTACAGATTCGGAGCGCCATCGCTCATTCCTCATGACAGGCACCCCCGCTCCATGAGCGATGTCTTCCAAGCGTTTGCAGTGATGATGCAGTCGAGATCTCGTGCAACTCTGAGTTATCGGGCACAAGCATATGGACAGCAAGAAAAGCATCTCAAGACTGTGATGTAGTCGTTCCAATTTTATGGAGAAGATCCACTCCAACAGGATTGGAATAAGATCGTTCAACACCTAGTGTTTGCCATCAACACATCTATAGACACACCAGGAAAGAGACTCCCTTTTATCTGGTCCATGGATTGGATGCGCAGTCAACTCTAAAGGCAATGGCATTTCACTAAGAAAAGGAGCAGCGAAGCAATCCGAGGCGTTAGCGTGGCACCGCGAGGTAAATCGAAAACAAGATAATGCCTGGAGCATGGCGAGAGAGTAACAACGGGTAGAGAAAGCTCGGCGTGCAAAGGCACACAACGATACTTTGAGTCGGGCGGAACAGGCAACCATACCAGGATCAGATCATGAAGATTCGGCTCAACAAGATGAGGCTACACCCGGTGAGTCAAGAGAAACGCCAAACTCAACGCCGATGTCTCTATTTGAGTCTGGAAGCCAACCATGGCTCTATAGGGAAAGGGCCAAGCGGGGTTAACTAAGAAACTTGCGCACAGACGACACGGTCCTTTCAGTGTCAAACGAAAGGTGGATGAGTATCCATACGAACTGGAATTACCTGACCGGAACGGTTACAGATTCTACCCTGTTGTTCACGTGTCTCGAATGAAGCCCGTGAGTGAAATGAACAATAGACCTACCACCCGACTAGTGCCAGAATTTGCTGAGGAATCAAGACTACACTTGGACGAAAAATTGCTCCCCGAAGATTCATGGGAACTACACCTGGAGCAACACATCCCAGGAGAGCAGACGCAAAACGCTACTGCGATAATGCATATTTTGTTATATTTGATAAACGCTACAGAAATGGTGTACGAAAAGAATGTGTTCAAACCTACGAAGATTCAGCTACATCAACTTGCCGGCGCCTGGACATGAATGAAGAACCTTAGATGATAATGGTGAATGAATCCTCGTTGTCACCTTCAGCTCCAGCTTCTGAAGGATCTTCCTCGTCTTCTTCGTCAACGTCACCAAGCACGTTGGCCCTGGCCGCAGCATCAGCTGTGTCATCACGCGTGTCTATGTTAATCTTGGCAGTTAGGTTGCGGAGAAAAGCGAGGAACTCAAGCTCTGGAAGGTCGGATGGAACTTCAGTGGAGCTGGTCGTCGTTAATGTTGTCTTCTTCATAGCTCGGGCAGGAGCCAGGGGGCCTTGAAAGTCCGCATCCCAACCATCAACAATCTCGTCGGGAGAAAGCGCGGATCTGGAATAACGAGACGACCGACGAATTCTCGTGAAGCACTAGTGGACACAAGCAACGGGACTGTTGGGTTACATGGAAAGAAGACCATGTTAAAAGGGTGCTACAGGTAATTTCTCCAAGATTCGCGAGCGTCCAATCCCTCCACTTCACGCGTCCACATAGCGTTCTTGGGAATCCAAGTCAAGTACTCAAAACCATATACTGGCATGGAGGGATCAAAGATAACGTCAGGAATGAGATCCGCCACAGGCGAATTTTCATCGAAAATCCAGGGCCACACGATACTTTGTTCCTCCCCATGGAGTAGTCGTCCCAAGCTTTCTGGACCGCACGAAGAGCATTCAAGATATACGCTTACTCAACCCCATGTTTGGATTTTTCCGCACGACTAGAAGAAATACTCCATGGCGCGAGCAGGAATCCAATGGCCACGCTGTCATTGCGAAAACCCAACTCAGGATCATTCCTAAATCCACCGCCCCGAAAAGTGCGCCAGTAGTTGCGGAATCGAAGATCGAGGTGAGCGCGCCGACCGGAGTATGTTGTTGCAGGCGCTGTTGTCGATGGAATCTCTGGGTTCGATGGTATTATCGTCGACGTGGTGTCCGTATACGAAGGTGGTGCTCCCGTCGTCGGCGTCAGCATCACTGGCGACGATGTTTCGGGTGTGCTGTACGGGTATGGCACACGAGGTTGCAGCAACTTTCGCGCAACATTCGTGTACTCCACACTACCTGGTGGGCGACACACCACATAGACGATGTTTCTAACGTCAGTTCCATTCTTCGCAGCACTTTGTCCTCTAGTTGTGTCTCGTGTCTCGTGTCTCCAGGCCTCCTTCGCCCTGTTACGGCTCAGCATCTCGCCAAGACGTTGCTGCATCTCTAGGCGTTCGTGCAGGTTCCACACTCGCCCACATACCCAGGACGTGAGCGATGGCCGTCCCGCCTCCAGCTTCTCCTCTGTCGGAGCCCGCGGCCGAGCCCCCAGTGGCCGCAGAAGGCGCGCAACTGTCGCTGAAGGTGCGCACGCTGGACCAGAAGACGTATCCGATCAGCATCTGCGCGGCCGCGTCCGTGCCGCAGCTCAAGGAGCTCGTGGAGGTTGAGACAGGCGTTACGCTGGCCCGTCAGAGACTCATTTATCGCGGCCGCGTGCTCAAGAACGACCAGACGCTGGCTGCGTACTCGCTGGAGGACGGCCACGTCCTGCATCTGGTGGTTCGGGCCACGCCTCCCTCCGATGCTGCCGGCCAAACAGCGGCTGCTACGTCATCTCCAGATTCGAATGCGGCGCCGGGCGGACGACACGTGAGGTTTGAAGATGCTTCTGCTACTGGTCGCACTCCCGCTCCGTACCGGTATGCAGCTGCAGACATGGGCTCGTTGAATGAGCGAGTCGACGAGTTCCAGCGAGCGACGCTCCGAGCCAGATCGAGATCCCGGCAACTCCACCCGCCGCCTCCTCCGCGAGATAATGACGAACCGGATCCGACTATGGGACGATCGGGCACTGGATTGCCTAACCGTGTGCTTATGGGCGCGACCATCTCCGTGCCGGAAGGTGCAGATGTGACGATGCCGTTCCTCAGCTCAATGATTGCGAATTTGGTTACGCAAGTTAGTGAAGGAGGGGAAGGAGGAGAAGGTGCGGCGACCGGAGGGCGACGTCACGTGACATTCTCGAGTGAAGCTCTGGGTGGAGGCACAGCTGCTGAGATGGAAGCCACGGCGAGAGCGCTCCGTCACCACCGGAATCGGGATGGCTCACGATCTAGTGGACGTGAACGCCACTCGCGACGTTCATCTACTGGTGCAGAACGTCAAGCAGCTTTGCGGGCTCGTACTGGACTCCGACTTGAGTCAGTTCGTGCAACGCTGGACGACACGTCTCTTAATTTTCCTGTTGAACTTACTTCACTGCCGCAAGGAGATGCGAATACGGTTATGACACAACTTCAGCAGCAAGTGGAGATGCTATTGACGCTTCTAGTACGTTTTGGACCGCGTCTTCGTCTACTGCCTGCTGCTCTTGCACAGCGTGACCGCATTGGTGGAGCTAACACTGCTTCGGCGTCCACTCCATCATCGACCGAGACGGCTGCTGACTCGTCCCAATCTGCTACAGCACCTACCGAGTCTGCTGCAACATCGACGGAGTCTGCTACAGCACCTACCGCGTCTGCTACAACATCACTCCATCATCGACCGAGACGGCTGCTGACTCGTCCCAATCTGCTACAGAACCTACCGCGTCTGCTGCAACATCGACGGAGTCTGCTACAACATCGACTGAGGCTACTACAGCATCGCCTTCAATTCCTACATCAGCCGAACCTACTGCAGGATCAAGTGAATTTCCTCCAGCGTTGCCTGCGGCCACATCAGAATCAACAACGTCAGTCAACGCCAGTAATGTTCCCGCCACTACCGGTACTGCCGAGGCGCCAGTATCGTCACGACACGTGATTCGTGCTATCGAGGCGTTGCAATCAATTGGAGAATCCACAGACTTGCTGGCCCGCATGACGCGGCACGCATTTGTTCGCCAATCAGTACAGTTAGGCGAACCGCTTTCGAGACGTTTAAGCACATATACAGGAACTGAAGCCGCAAGTCGCACTGAAGGCAACAGATTGCAAGCCGCACTTGGTGGGTCGACTCGTACGGAAAGACGAAGTTCCAGTAGACCGCGGTTTCGAGTTGCTCGCATCAGCGCTAATGATATGCTAGGGGAAAGATCCTCTGTAGCACCAGAAACATCTAGGACTACTGTGGCTGCCGGGTCGAGTCCAGCAAATTCTGGTGTCCCTCTACCCCTACCGGTATTTAGCCCTGCAATTCCTTCGCTAAATAATCAGCCAAGTTCGCAGGAGGGACAAACTAGTCCAGCTCCGGACGACGTCAACGGCCCACAACCACCAGCAGGGGCTCATATCTCTATCTCTGGTATGGGCTTGCCGCTCATGTCATCGGTAGTGTTCCCCTTCTCCCTTGCGGCGGGTCTTGGCGGTAGTCATGCGACTACGACGTGGAACCTGGCAGATTTTGTGAGCCGCCTGACGAGTGAACTGCCGATTTCTACTCTATATGGGGTAATGGCTGGCGATGCCACTCATCTGCACCACGTCCTCGCACATATTGGCTTCGCGTTGTTCAGCGGTGTTGATGTTCCACGAGTGACCAGGCCTAGCATTCGGACGTGGGCTCAAGATCTTGTTAGCGAACTCCACCGATTATTGCGCTTACATGTACTGCCTGCTAATGTACTGGACCAAGTTACTGGGTCCATCGAGCGGCGTTCGGGTCTGGGGAACGAGCTGCTGCGTGTTGTGGAGCCATTTATTCCCGATCTCATCGATTTCCTCGTCCGTGCCACGTCTGCCAGCCGAGTTGCGGCATTTGGTACAAGTAGTGCTACCTTCTTGCGTACGATGGCTCAACAGGTTGTTCGTCAACTTCGTGCCTACGCGAGAGGTGAATCAACGGAATCTGAAGATTATAGTGACGTACGGTTGAAGCGCCTGCTACGAGAACTGCTCGCGTGGTTTGGGATGAACGAGCACATTGCGACTTTTATCGTTGATAGTTTGCTGTGTTGGACTGAAGGTGATAGTCGTCGTGGTCGCGTACGCCAACGCGAGGAGGATGATGGTGACGTTGATTCAGCTGACTCGCCAGCTATCAAGCGACAACGCTAATACTAGTAGTATGTCAGGCGTGTATATGAAGCAGGCGTGTTAGGTCTTTGGAATGGAAAGTAGGATAGGAATTATCTTACACAATGCAGATTATCAACTTGAACACTTGCAATCAGCTTCCAAGTGACTAGATTCGTATTTCATGCATATGAACAAAAGCTACTCTAGTTTGATAGAAGGTTCATCGTCGGGAACTTCGGGTAGACGCGCTTATATAAGTGGAGGCACACGGTGTCGTG